TTTTTTTTTCTTCTTTTTTCTTTTAAATAAATATTAACAATTTAAAAAAATAAAAGAAAAGTAAAATAATATAAATTTTTACATATAAATATTTATAATTTTGGTTTATATATATAAAAATAATTTTTTAATTATATTATTAAGCGGAGCGGGGGCGGGGGCGGGTATGGGGGCGGGGGCGGGGTGGGTATTAACATCCCCGCCCTCGCCCCCGCCCCCGATTTTATCAATCGGGGAAAACCCGAACCCGATAAACACGGGTTTTCCCCATCCAAATCGGGGCGGGTTCGGGCGAGTACCCACGGGGGCGGGTTAGATTACCATGCCTAGTTGGAAGTTGCAATTTCGAGTTATAGATGCAATTGACAGGGACATTAAAACTTAAGCAAAACACCAATGGCGTCTAAGTCATGTCAGTTGAACTCCTTCAAACTAATTTGCTGACATCAATCGTTGAGAAATAGGGCAAAAGATTAGTTATATTTATATATAGGTTACGATCTTGTAGCTGATGACACCTTTTTTTTACCCGTAAATTTGTAATAATATTAATAAAGTTCCAATATAAGATTTTATAGTGTACATACTACTTCAATCTTCAGCACAAGACCATACTTTTATAATTTAATAATCAAGAATGGTTAATTACTTAACTTGGTCTATAAATCTCTTATTATTATTACCTAATAAGTTGCTAAGTGTTCTTAAAAAGACAAACATATGTCACAGAGTAATGCATACAGATAAGGAATTTGATTCGAGCCCTAAATTACTTATCAAATCAAAAGGGATTGCAGAAAATCACCTTCAACAATTTCAAAACGATTAGGATTAAGTTCACATTACATGAAGGGAGCATTATGGTAGCTTGGAAGCATAAGCAATGTAACTAACAATTGCCATTAAGCTAGAGATTATCGATCCATGGTTGGTTGGTTGGTTATAAGATTGTTGTCTTTTCTAATCCAAAATCTGTGTATAAACTTTGCTGATTTATGTGGGTTTTAGTATCCTTATACTATACATTAATTTATCTCTTTTGCTTTTATATATATTTCACTTACTTTAAGAGTAAGTTTTGGTAAATTTATTCTATTTAATAACTCGTATTTTATATCAAATTTTAATAATTTAATTATTTAATTAAAAAATTTTAATGTATAGATCAAGTTTACAAATTTTTAAGATTTTTTATATAATACTTCGTTATATAGATTCAAATCAACGTATAAAATGTTTTTTTGATTATCCATCAATTTGTATCAACAAAATGAAGTATCGAATAATTTTTTTTTAAAAAAATATACAAATTTCATCTATGCATTAAAAATTTTTAATTTAATAATTTGAATCATTGAAATTTGAAATAAAACATGAATTATTGATATATTTTTTTTGATAGGCCCACATCATCAAACAATTTGGACCAACCCAACATCACAACACCGGCCCAAAGGCCCAAAAGGATCATTTCTCAACCTAGTTGGTTAAGAACTTTATTTGGACACATGTAGAGTAATCCTTTCTTTACCATTATTTTTCCTTTGTTTATAATAAGAGTTTCTAATCTTTAGAATGATAAAAGTATTTTATAAGTTGATTTAAATCTATATAATAAATTATCATATCATTTTTAAATTTTTTTTAAATTTGTAGAATTAATTTATGTATTAAGAACCTTAATTTAAAGGTTAAATAGTTCAAATTTAGTATAAAATGAGTTATTGAATGAAATAAATCTATCAATACTTACTCTTAAAGTAAGTAGATCCATATTCTCTCTTAGGATGACCAAAATACACATATCTATGGGTATCTGTAGATAAAATTCATCATGGATAACTTAAATAGATATCCGTAAATAATAGATACGAGTATTTTTTTATCCGTTTATAAACGGGATGAGGTAGGTATAGTAGTATCTATATTGTAGGTACTTGTAAATAATATTACATAAATATTAATATTTTTATCTTATATTTTATATTATTTTTAATATTTTAAAAAAAATTATTATAAATTACAAGTTCAAAAATTAATATCATTTATTTATCTTTAATATTTCAATATACTTAATATCATATATAAGTTTAAAGTTATTTATAATACTTTTTAAAAAAATTAAGAGAATTCACGAATATTCATACATATCCATTGGTATTTATAACATTTGTGGGTGCTTGCTGAACAGATACACGCATGAGTATGAAAGTACAAAACAAATTTTTATCTAATGAAAAAGAGTATAAATATCCTACTACCCACCTCTATGGGATCTCAATCATCTCATTGTCATCCCTACTCACTCTTTATCTCTCTCTCTCTCTATATATATATATATATATTTATTTATTTTCTTTCCATATTTTTAACTTTCTAAAATGTACGTTTGTTGCAAATGAAACATAAACATTTTTCTACATGAAAAGACTTTTTTTTTCTGTACACCTTATGTATTTATTCTTTGTGCAAGTAATTTAATTTAATAAAAAAACAATTTAAAAAGTCATGAATCAGGTGTGCAATTGCAAGCTACTACTTGTGGTGAACACGTTAAATTTATAAAAGAAATTTCAAATGTCAAGGAATTTTATTTGGGTTTTCCATTCACAAGGTTGCTGTGGTGTAGTGGTTATCACGTCAGTCTTACACACTGAAGGTCTCCAGTTCGATCCTGGGCAGCAACAAGTTATTTTATCTTTTTTAATTTTCGTTTCTATACGTATATTATATTTGGTTTCTTTCATGTTCACGAGGCGTTTCAATTCTATAATTTCGATACTGATATCCAATTAAAATGAGAATTTACCTCAATGTCGTCCTATTTTTTCTCAAAAAAATGAACTAGTTCCCTAATAAAATGACCCACTAATGTTGTCCATCTTCGTTGCTCCAAATCAATTGGAACACCCTGAGCAAAGAATGCAATATTGAAATGGAGAATATTATCATGAGTGAAGTAAATGCAAAAGAAAAATGATGCAATTTCAAAGAGTTGCCAATTTTATATGGTGATGATATCAACATCGTCATCCCGTGCATTGGAAATATATCCTCTTAAATTTGATCCACATTGTTGAAAAGCAAATAATTATGTAACATTTTTGTTTCTCCGTTATAGCCTTTCTTACAAGTATCAAAGTACAAGGTTAATTTATATATTTTGCATCCTTTAATTGTATTTGACATAATTTTGTAAAATAACAAATACTGATTAATTCTTATTTGTCAATTTTAAGATATTGTGTAGACATATTTATGAATCTAAAAACCAAAAGTTTTAGATCAATGAAGGAGCAAAGAAAAAATATCTTTTACCACCAACAAAGTAGTACATTACATTCAAGAATGGGGTATGAACAAAACAAATATGTTCAAATAAGCAACAGTTCCCTTTCTGGACACGTGACCATTAGGAATCCTTTCTCATCTGAGCCTAGGGGCATGATTACAAGACTACCAAGTGCTTAAAGTCTGAAGATTTATCATCATAAGATGTTATGCACCTTGAACCAATGCAAGTAAGTTGCTAGCTTCAAATTGTCCACTTAGCATAGGAACTTCAGAACATACTAGTGCTTAGTTAGCAAAAACATTCACCCTCACTCTAGCTGTAACTTCTGGGTGAAGCTTTAACTCTGCAATATATTCGCCTGTTTCCCGGATCTCTGGAAGATCAACAATTCTCTTGTCCACCTCCCTAGAAATGGATCACAGAAAATGGATCACAGAATCAGACTCCAAAACAGAGATGTGAAATAAATATGGGAAAAGCAATTCATCTCCCCCATTTTAAGCAGTGGAATGTACTTATAAGTTTTAGGATCTCCCCCAAACGATTCTGCGAACTAGGATATCATTTCACATGTGAACATTGAACAACATGTATAAGTTTATGATAATCATATGTGCTCAAGTGATGTCACTTAAAAGGTAATCAAGTAATTAATAAATTGAAGAGTGCGAAATTTTCTAACAATCTTTACAAATTTCACCTAATTTTCAGAAAAAATTGTATATATCGAAACACATCCAGAGGAATCCATAGAATTGTGCAAGGAACACTTTAGACACTCGGTATATTTTAGCCGCATTAAAGAAAAGGCACAAATTGTAATTGTATAGGATAGTACTCAATCAAAGAACATCTATAATGATGACAAAATAAAAGATTTCTGTACATAAAAAAGATGGTACCTTTGAAGCTGTGCCTTGATTATGTCAACAAGATCTTGAGCAGTGACACTAAAAAGCAAGCAACAATTAGATGCAAAATCCATACAAGGACATATTGACTCTTATAATTGTGCAGAACAAATCTACCTTCCAAAAATTTGTTTTCCTTTACCACCTTTACGCTTTACCTTGAAGGCCCCAACAGTTTCAAAAATTAGAGCAAGTTGTTGAGCCTCTTCTTTTACCTACAGAAATGTAAACTTGGTATGAAATTATATGTAGATTTGCATGGACTGCAGATATGCAAAAGAAAGCGATTTCCTGTGTGCAAAATTACTACAGGGATAATCATTGAAAGAAGTATACATTCTGAAATATTGAACCTTACAGCTCCAGCTGCAAGGTTTACACATGGTGCTTAACAACATAGCATTCATTTCATTCCTAATTCTATTTACTGATAACAACCTTGGCCACACATTACCATAAGACAAATTTTACTCTTGTAGGGATTGTCGGGAAAGGAAAATTTACCCGTCTTTTTTCGGCCTCAATTCTTTCTTCTTCTATCTTCATTTCCCTGGAGAGAAGGTTAAAATGAAAAGTTTAAACAACAATGCAAGGGAAACTCAGTTCAAAACTGTGGCAAACATGTCTTATTTCAACAGTTTTGTATGGCACAAACTACAAAAAGAAATAGCTAATCCCTAAATTTCCAATGAACCTCTCTCTAATAGAAACAGACATAAAATGTCTGAAATAAAGAACATGCAGGAATTACCAAATCAAAGATTTGTCACACTCACAAATGTGGAACTTCTATTATTTTATCATAGAAAAGACACAGAAACAATCTCATATGTGAAAGGGAACAACAAAATTTCCATTTGGTAAACCAAGATGAGAGCAGTTGTTATTGAACTAATACAGCAGGAACCACACTTAACAGAAAACAAGAAAACCCTGTTCAACTCAAAACTCAAAGCCCCATCGATGAAATAAAAAGAACTTCCTAAAGTCGTCATTATTATTAATTAATAACTCTAAGCCATCTTTCTGTTCGTCTCCAGTCAAATGCAGAAGGCTTTAAAAGTCTCACCGGTTTATATACACAAATGAATTAATCTTCTCTCTAAAGATATTTTCTCCAAAAATTGATTAGGCATAAACTAATCTTAACTTATAAAGGAAGCTTAATTCATTTTACCTTCTTAGGATCTTTTTAGATAAACTTCTCCAAAAGCATTTTTAGGAGAGCAAAATAAGAAAGAAAAACAAAATAAGTTTCTCCATAAGATAAAACTAACTTATGCATAAGCTATTTTATAGAAGCACTCTCTTATTAGTTTTTCTAAAATCTTATTTTTAATTCATGCATAAGCTAGTTTATTTTATGGAAAAGTTCATTATGATTTTTTTTCTTTCTATTTTTTTGTACTAAAAGTGCTTCTAGAGAAGTTTATCCGGTTTCTCCAGACATGCCCTTATTTTCTTCTTACCACAAGTACTTATTGAGAAATTATCCAAATAAGACCTAAATCATATTCAAAAGAGCTCTTCACAGGGACAGTTTACTTTCCATGTCAACACAATGTCATATAAGCCCCCACTGGTAACTTATCCAAGCAACCTACTCTTGTGTTTGAAAACCATTACTTCTACTACTAACAGTAACAAGGTTATGTAAATGCAAATTCCAAACACTAGTCCATTATATTGAAATCTAAAAATAATAATGATTACTTAATGTGTTAATGTTATATAAAACCTAGATGGTTTAATTACACATTACTTGAGCAGCTGGGGAGTAACAAGTTGTGCCTTTCCCATAGGAAGCAAGTAATTTCTGTAAAAGCCAGCCCTCACATTGAGAAGTTGCCCTTGCTTTCCCACATCAGTCACATCTTCCCTCAAAATAATCTGATTTCACAAATAACTAACCAAGTCAATGTATGCATATATAATGCTGCAGAGCTCAAATACATTACTATAGAGAAAAAACAACCATACCCATTTGTTGTGCAACTACAAAATTCAAAATTGACATTCAAGTAATGTTGAAAAACACGGAAAGATGTTTAATTTATGGCGTGAGAGCATAGATTGTTGATGAAACCTTTCGAGTTTTCTTTGCCTTCTTTTGAGCGAGGACGAAAAAGCGCGCATTTTTGTTGGGGAACTGAGTAGGAGCCTGAGAGTTACCGGTGAAGATGTGGTGCAAGAGTGAAGAGGAGGTGGAAGAGAGAGAAGATAATGCTGACGCCATTGATGTCTTGCGAACTCTCAGAAGACAGAACCAACGTTCTGTGTTTCTTATCTCTTTTCCGCTGTTACTCGTCGTTTAATCCTCAGACGACATCATACATTATAAAATCAGAACTTTAAACATTTTCCAATTATTAAGATATAATAATTTATATATTGACTATGTGTTTTTTTTTTTGTTTATTATCCGATCATAAATTGTCAAAAACGATAAATTTTATAATTTTTATAAGAATTATTTAAAAATCATGCGTAGCATTATTGATTTATAAAGCACATAATGAACTTTATTGATTTTAAGATGATTATTATAAAATTTAATATTTATTATATATCATAATTTATAATTAAAATGAAAGTATAATAATTTATTATTATAAAATTTATTTTTTAAAATAAATAGTATATTATTATTCAATCAAAATTTATTCATAAATATATTAAATTTCATATAAAAAATTACTTAAAATTATATTAATTTATGATTGATTGATAGTATACATTTTGAATTCAATCTTATTTAAAACTTTTAAATTTTAATATAATTTTCTATTTAGACATATCAATTAATAGAGTGACTAAAATTAACCCTTAATAAATTATAAGGAAAGAAAACATAATTTAACAAAAAAAAAATGTATTTGTTTTAGTTGATTGTGGAAAAGTTAAAAGAAAATAAAAATCATTAGTCTAATAAGTCTTTCATAAGATTAGTTTTTTGTATATTGTATAAATTTAATATATATAATTTTTAATTTACAAAATATCACATGCATTCATTTACAAACAATTTTATATTCATCGAAAATTTTAAATTTAATACTTATAAAAAAATATAATATATATATATATATGACAACAAAATTTTAAATAATGAGATAATATTCATACAAAAATTTGTAATATTAAATGTATAACTTATTTTAATTATTTAATCATTAAATTAAGAATTTTTAATATATAAATCAAGTTTGTAAATTTTAAAAAATTTAAAAATTATTTAATACTCTGTTTCATTAATTTAAATTATATACATTTAATTATGTACATTTAATTAGAGGTAACTATCTTAAAACGAACGTTATAAAATACTAACATTCTTTACACCTAATCAATTTTGAATCTTATCTTTGTTTAAGACCCTCCTTTTAGGTTTTTTTTTTCTATAGTTTTCATTAATAAATTATGATGATGACTCTTCTATATTTAACATTTTTAATCTATTTTCATTGTCTTGTCGTGACTTGTTTGTTGTTTGCAACAGATGGATTATTTGAAGAAGAAAAAAAGTTATTGTAAACCATAACTATCCTTCATCGAAAATAATCTTGTTCTACATATGCAACAAAGCTCCCTTCTCGTATCTAGTTGCATACTTAGAACATGAACCCAAAACGACGATTGTTACATAATTTTTTAAAAATGAATATATTTTTGGGTAATCATAATATTAATATAGAGTATCTATCATCAAAATTAGTGACTAATCTATGTTAAAGGCTATAAATGTATACAAGTAATGAGTTTTCCTTCTTTAATGGGAAAGAGAAAGATAAGAAAATAAAATACTAAATAAAAATAAGGAATATAGTACAAGAGATTTTGTAGCAACACAACGGAAAGAAAAAAGAGAAAAACTCTCCTTTATTTTAGGTCACTCATTTAATTATTAGTTTTGGTTATAGAAGCTAATTGTTTCTTAAGTTGTTTTGATATATTTTTTGAGAAACAAAATCAAAGAATTTTTTAGAGAAATATAACCCCACTTCTATATTAAAAAGAGAGAGAATCTTTTTGAATGAACTATCAAAAAAGTGTTTAGTTAGAAGTTATTATTAATATTATTATTGTATTCCCATTATATTTTTTGTGGAAACTATCCATTTTATTGTTTTATCGTGATTACATAAAATGTGAAAAAAGTTAAATTTAAGAATAATTTTATTCTTTAATTTTGTATTAGACAACTTTTATATGTTATCTTTTGTAACAAGATGAGTATTCTTTTTATAACATTTTTTTTCTTCCATAAATAAAAAAAAACAACTTAAGAGATTCAACTTATTACCATATTTAACAATATTACAAATGAATGCATTACTAAAGGAAAAAGAAATTAAAAGAATGAACCCAAAAAGGATTTATTATGTGAAAACTGCAAACAGATTAACATTTTGAGAAACTAGCATGATCTCACAAGGATATTTAATATCACAATGTCAATCACTTGCTGAGAATGACTATAGCCTATTACAGGAAACGGACAAATTAATTAAAGACTAAATAAAATACTAGGAGATACGTGACAACTATGCTTTCCTACATTATCTTTGTCAATTGGCACTAATCAGCACCGTTTCTGCATCTCTGAACTTCATTATTCTTGTATGTGACACTTTTGTAGAACTCTGTGGTCCTCATTGCAAAAATCACAGAAGTCACTGCTGCAAAAAAGGAGACGCATGCCATTATTGTCAAAGAAATCTTGTAGCATCCTTTTCCAATACAAGCCAACTCTGTGCCCTTCACCCACTCTTTCCCACTTTTCTTCAGCTGATTTTTTGCCTCTCTATCGTAAAATGACCCAGTCACCATAACATTCAACACATATGATGCAAAGGGAACAACTAGAAGCACACAATTCTGCAGCGTGGAGAAATATTTAAGACCAAAGAGTTCAGAAACAAGTGCATAGAACATTGGCCACGTTACACCAAACGAGAATCCAATTAGCACTGATGCAAAGTAAACCGAACCGGGAGCTGAGAACACAATGAGAAGGTGACCAATGCATGTAAGCAAATGCGAAAAGGTCAACAACAAAGGGCGTGGAACTTTGTACTTTTGAAGCAAAATTTCTGACACAAAACCAGCCAAGACCCTCCCAGAGTAGTTCCAAATGCTTACAAGAGACACAAATAATCTCGCTGTGTTGCCAGTGTACCCTAGAGACTCGCTAATTTGCCCCAAGTTGTCCACTACTGTTACGTTTGTGCCATAGCCAGCAAATGATGAGATCAATATTAACAACATGTCAACACTTAGCAGTGCTTGCATGATGGTGTGATCCTCTCCTCTTTCAGGTTTGTTGAATATGTTGGAAAAGTAAGAAATGTCTGCATGATTATCCTTCGCCTTTTCCTCATTAGGGTCAACTATTTGAATTTTCTCAATGATTACCTCATTTGCAGTGTTATTTTCAAGGCTCTTCTTCCACAGTAAGAACTCCTTTCTAATAGTGATAAACATAGGAAAGATAAGTATAAAACATACCAGGGTGGCACAAGAAATATAGGCTGATTTTGGGAAAGGAATCTGCTTCTGAGCAATGATCATTGCCATGATGACTAATGCAAGTGTAATTGATGCAAAAAGAAAGCGGTAAAATATTTTTGGCTCAATGGATTGCCTAGTGCTAGTTCCAACCTTCATGATCCAAATCACAAATGCAAATAGCAATGTGATAGCAGCAGGGAACCATGCAATGAGAAGAATGAGAGATTCAGAATCATTCCCATAAAGGGCCAAGTAAAGTTGTGTCATGATGGCTCCACTTAGTCCAAGGTAACCCGTCAACAACCCCAATATAGGGCACCTACTTTCTGGGAAGATTTTGACACATGCAGTGTTCACTGCAGTGATGGTAAAGTTCGAAGAACTGGCACCAATGGCCATGTAAATGCAAACCTGCCACACGTGGGGTTTGGATATTCTGGCAGTGACCGAAAGCCAGATCATGAAATAGCCAACAAAATTGAAGGCTGAGCCTAGAAGGAGTAGCAACCATGGAGGGGTAAACTCTCCAATGAGACCAACAGGAGTACCAAAATTTGAACCAAGGTCCTTGGCAAACCCCAAAAAGTTGAGCGTGCTTTGATCATAACCTAGTGAAGATTTGATTGCTTCAGAGTATAATCCAAAGACATAGATGCCACCTGCTCCTGCCATGATAAAGAAGGAGGCACAAAGCATGAACAATGGACCTCGTATTACTTGTGCTATCAACTTAACAACACAAAATCGATCACTATTCATGCTGCTAGAGCTCATTTTTCTGTCTCACCCCACTCTGAATATATAGAACAAGGGAAGCACGTAGAACAAGTATTTATTGGGATTATTGTTGGTAAAGTTTGAAAAAGGGACATAGTCAATTTTTTTATGTTTATGAATTTAATCTATTCAATATTTCAGAGTTAATGATCAATTATAAATTTATGTTTATGAGACGTAATTTTTATTAATGAAATATTATTTTAATATCAACGAAAATTAATTCTGTTAATACTAGATCGATAATATATTCTAAGACAAACTTTCCAATCACTCGGTCAAGTTTATGACACTTGAGGGTTTTTGTATGTATGTATATATATACAAAGCATGAGGAATGACAAACCGTACAATTTGTTTTTTTGGTGGATTAGGATAAACGTAAACATAAATGAGGGTCTATATACATACGAGCATTTATACAAAGTCGCTTATTTTGGAAAGCCAAATATGTTAAATGAGGAATTATTGATTGTATGACAAAAATTGGATTCAAATTTTTAACTCTTCAAATCCACAATTACGCTTTCATAAAAACTGACTGAAGTCGGCACAGTCACTAGGTATTAAGTTGGTCTACTTCGGATGGATCATTTAACACTTGAATGTGAAATTCACACTATAAATTGTCTGTTTCAAGGTTTACCCTTGTGTGTTGGAAAAAAGACAGTATTTTGGCAATTTGAACGAATAGATGAAGTATCAGTAAGCCTTCTTGTCGTGTTGTAAATGTAATCTTAGTAGGTTGTTTTGAAATGGAAGTGAATTGATCATCTTTGTGCAATTAACATAAAAGCAATAGTTGTTTTCATGCCTTTAAATTGCATACTTGGCTTTTGCAACCTGAACGACAATAACATGTGTTTTGCTGTAATTGTGTATGACATGTTAAAACCACGCTTATGCTCGTTGTATTTAATGATAACACCAGTGTTAGCTACTTGAGCTCTTTTGATCAAAATAGTGTACATGTATTTGTCTTGAACTCTATTTACAAGTTACAACTAACTAGCGGAGATTCCTTTGGAGGGAAGTGTTTAATCGATTTCGGCATGCACGTAGTCGACGAATTCAAAATTCTTTTGGAGTTGGTTTAGGGCAAAAGCAAAGGCTGCGCTCACAATTGCAAGTCCAGCCAAAAGTACACGCAATTGGACATCTGATGGGATCCCTGATGTTGCACAAAACACAACTGTTGCACCAATCAAGATTTTCTGCCATGTTTGGAATCCCTCATAAGCTCCTTTACATGATGAACACTTCAGAGTGTGCTGCTCAAATCTATCCAACATCTACACAAACAAAAATGAAGTTTTTCAATTTAGTTCTTGGTTAAAATAAAGAGAAATGATAACACCACATTCTTTATTAATAGATAAAAATCTATGCTCAACTTATTAAATGCAGGTATTAAAAAGTGTGTTGTTAACAAAATCTTGGATCGTGTTATTGTACCTGACGTTTTGACAAAACAGTTGACGGCAACGGCTGGTCACTGCTGCTGCCAAACCATTCTGGTTGACCATTGCCGTGTCGCCTTAGCCAGTTTCGAAATGCCAAGACAAAGCGATCTGCCTGTGTTGGTGTGAAGGTTATGTCTGAGTACTGTTTGTTAATGTCACCTCCTTCCTTGGTTTTTGAAAGGAAGATTTTCTCTTGACCTTGAAGGACAATCATGTCCCCATCATATACCTTGTTTGAAGTCCAATGCTCATACCATCTAGGAACGACCTGAGTCATGTATAAGCCAAATGTGAGACACCATGTTATACGATTGCATTCGTAAAATTGAATTCAAATTACTCAGTTGAGCGAAACAATGGTAAATTTATTTATACGAGAATGTTATTCAAAAAAAAAAAATTTTACTCACTTCCTCTACCAACAGAAATGACATTCAAAAATCCTTACCACTATTTTTTAAGTTAGAAAAACCAAATCTTAGTATCTCTATAATTTTCCCACATTATGGTGATGAATCTCAGTTGTCATAATAAACCCACATTTTATGTCTACTGTAACTGAAGCCCGTAATTGTATCTTTGGTCCTAAGAGGGTATTGATGATTGATGGTACACGTAAGTTGGAGTATATGTTAGTTAATTGTTAGATTCAGTTAGTTTGCTGTAATTAGGGGGCTGGATGATAACAAATAAGGCATATTGCCTGTAAATAGGTGGAAGGATTGAGAGAGGGGGGTATCCGGTTAATTGAGAAGAGTTGTGACTTTTGGACATTGGGAGGTGCAGACCCTCGATGATATGTGATCATACTGTAATTAGGGGAATTTCCCCATACATTTTCTATGTAAAACTAGGTTCGAATCTTGTCTGTCCTCGATGTAATTTTGACTTAAAAAAGAAAAAAAAGAAAAAAAAAAAAAAAAAAAAAAAAAAAGCTTCTGTGTAGTAAACTCCAGAACAATTTCAGGACAGACAAAAACATTTAATAGAGTTCTTGGTTTATGAATAATTTCAAATTAGACAAATTCTTAAATTGATTGAGACTAAAAAATTAGCTACACCATTATCATGATTCATCGTGACAGAACAAGTTATTTGGATAGATAAATTGGTGAAAGACCATAGAAATAAGCCATCTGGAACAAGCACGTGCTTTTATCAAACAGAACAGAACAAAAATGACAGCACTGAACATTGAAATCTTACCTGCCACCAGGCAGGCCCTGGCACTGAGAACTGGAAGAAGTTTCGAGCACTGCAAACAATGGAGCGAGTCTTACCAGGTGCCATGGGGACATTGAAGGAACATATCCATACTACCCATTTCTGGTCACCAACTACAGGGAGTTTGGTATCAATCTCAATCCTGCAATAATAATCCAAGTGGATTGAGCCTCAGTAGCAACAAATGAAAAAGGAATAGGCATCGTAGGATAAAGTAAAAGTTATTTGAAACCCATCTTGAAATATAGCATATAAACACTTAAATAGTATACCGTGAGTCGTATATGACTTCAGTGGCATTCACTCTATAGATATCAATATACCTACTTAAATTGACATTGATGATTCATGCACTATCAACAAAACCACACAACTGATATGAGAATCCTTTCCGAGAACCTCATCATACTACATGGAGAAGGTACAGCTAATTTATGTAAGATCCTAAACAGCAGATGATAAGGTTTGAGATTCAAAAGTTAAACACTTCCCATATTACTTTCCCAGTGGTCCTTTAAAGGTTGAAAACCAAAGAAATTCAGAGAGGAAAAAAAGATTTGTGTAAACTCTCCAAATAGAAAGTCTGATACTGAATTATCCACCTATTGAGGAAAAACCGTGACTAAAGCGTAATATTTTTATTCCACAAGTATGTGAAACATGATACCCATGACTGAATGCATGATACTCAAAAGCTACCTGATATTTTTCCCTTAAAGTTGAGCACAATTTTTTTTTCCATAAACACATAGAATTCATATAAAATTACTTCAGTGTTAATGCTGGAATCAAATAATGCATATGAGAAACAAAACCAAGATATGAAGATACATGTGACATTAACACAAAAGCGATTGGCTTACTTGTTCATATAATAACATGGTGCAACAAATTTGGCACTTATCCGTGGGTTCCCTTCATTAGCTCCAGAGAAACCCCATGGACCTCGAGAATCCATTTTGAATGGCAGAGGCTTGGCTCTGTCTCTCCTTCCTGTAACCTGTAGAGTGTGAATCATATTTATGTTAGTCATTTGGATAAACCTAAATCCCTATCGACACCAAATAATTTCAACGTTTGCAACTGCTTATCTAGGTAGAGTCTAAATTAAAAACACATATTAATAAGCAATATGGTAAAGAAACATGTTAATTACGGGGCTGCAAATAGACAAGCACAACTATGAGCTTAAGAGACACAATCAATTAATCCAATACTTGAAACATCTGGTAAAAGTTTAAGATCCTACACACTAAAATAACGTGAGAATAACTTCCTGTTCAATAACGTCACCCATGAAGGTTTTCTCAGTTTTTAAAATATGCCAATCATGCGGAGGTTTCAGTGAGTGAAGGTGCATAATAAATGGAACGACCAAAAGTTTTTCCCTGGGAACACTTGTTGGACTGCATCACTATCAGCATCACTTAATATATTTAATAAATTTCACTAAAAACAAGATCAAATAAAATATCATCAAGAGGCACACTAAATGAAAATAAAATACCCTGCGTCTAAAAGTCAAGTTGAAAGGTGTTATCTGTACCTTGTGATGAGCAAAATCAATGTGAGAAGGGTCAGAGACATTCTCCATGAGAGTATCATAACCATAGAACAGATCACGCTGAATGTTGACTATGGCAAACTCTGGTTTGTCATAGTCGTCAGGCAACCTAAACAAACATAAATTTACCACCCAGGTCAATAAAACACTAAACAAAACACTCCATAATCAACATAAAATAATAAACACCGGACAACATTCATTATTAGGGGTCCAATCACAATTAATTCAATACAATTCATGAGATAAGACTGAATTTAATTAAATAAATTACATTGGAGGCTTGGAAGCATTTGCTTTCTCCCAACCATTCTCATCAGGCCAAACAAAGAGCAAGCCCTGAGACACCATGGTAGGGAACCTAGTGGCACACGCTTTAGGAGATCGAATAGCACGTGCTTCTGGGCCTTCAGATGCAGCCTGAGGGATCTTAACACAAGATCCACACCCATCAAAAGACCACCCATGATAAGAACACTGCAACTTCCCATCTTCATCGATCCTTCCCTCCTGCAAAAACCAAACACCCAATTTTTTATCACAAAAATGAAAAAGTAACTAACATGGTCAAATAAGTGTATATAAGTGAGACAAAGTCCTCACTGCATAAGCTAGCTTTCTTGGTTGAGTTAGGTCTTAACCTAAATTTTAACATAGTATTAGAGTTTATAATAGTCGTCAAGCCAAAGTTATCACATCACTATCAAACTACTCACAAATGTCCTACAAACTTTATACTTGAAATGTCCTGGGATGAGGGAGTTGTGTTGGAGAGAGATCTCATATTGATTAGTGATATTGTAGTCAAAATAATGGATTTTTTTTTTTGGGTCCCCATAGACATGGATGTTCTAAAACTAACAACCAAAAACTAATATGTAATTACTAAAAGTAACTTCCACAAGCCAAAATTAAAGCATTAAAATAAGCATATAGATCCTAGAAGTACCATGTCAACCCCATGATAGTGTATATAAATATTATATATTGTATATAAATATATAGAAGGTAACCATCATTCTATATAACAAGATTTAGGCTTAAATCCCAAATTCTAATAGTGACAAAAAGGAAGAAGAAAAACAGAGAGAATTATACTCACAGATAAAGGAGCAAAACGGTGGGGGCATTTATCATCAAAAGCAACCCATTGGGCAATGGACTTGTCGTACCAAAGCACGATTTCACGACCGAGAAGCTGGAACGGCGTGGGCAAGAGAGGGTTGAGATCTTCAATTAACGAAACAGGGTACCAGTGATCCCTCCAAGAGAACTTAGAGGAAGAGCTATCATCGTTAAACTCTTCCTCGGTTTCTGGGGATGATTGATCGGCTTCAATTGTTGAGGGTGGTGCAGCAACGCGTGCAGGGGTTAGGGAAAGGTTTCTTCTTCTGCTTATGGGTGAGTTGTTGGGGAAGGAGAAAAGGGGAAGGAGATTGGGTTTGTGGGGTTTGGTTATTGGGGATGAAAGAGTGAGTGTGGTTGCTGCTGAGGAAAAGATGGAGTATGGGAGTGCCATCAATGGCTTTTCACAAGTGTTAAGGTTTCAAGAATCGTATAGAGAGGTTCATGTGAGATGTGATGATAATAATAATAATAATAATAAGAGAATCGAACACGATTGTTGTGTCGTGCAAGTTACAAACGTTGTTGCTCCTGCTCTTTCCGGTTGAGGACAAAATGCTGTTCAGATGTGTTGTTTTCTTACTCTGATTAATCAGTGCTTAATGTTAATATTAGGAAACATAATAATTGGAAAAGTATTGGTGTGGAAATTTTCCTGTTTTTGCTAATTGCTCTCTAATTATTTGGACAAATTATCTGATTTTGTTTTTCTCTGGGTTGTTCGGTGGAACGATGGATGTCCACAATTTTGAAGAGCATCAAAGACACGTTCGTTCGGTGGTTGTGGGCCACGTTAGTGTGTGTAAATTCTAGATGAGATGAGAAAACAAAAACAATGGGAACTCAAAACAATGTGTCAAATAGGTTGAGGCTCTTGTTGGATTTGGATTTGGATTTGGATTTTGATTCCACTTTGCGGCATGAATAGGTTACTGAGATTCGGACACAAAACCTGCTTCAGTTCTCACAATCACTAACTCGTACTTCCATTTCACCATCTCATTCTTTTAGCTTCTATTTTCATAAGACATGCACAAGTGAGCTCGGCATAGGTGTCAAAATTTCAACCATAGTTAATTGCTTTGCTGCAGTTAGAAGTGGAGAGAAATAATAGTTTTTTTTTTATAGTATTTTTCATAAAACTGGGATAATTTTCTTTGGAGGTTGGACACACACCAAATAAATAGATATTTTTTTACAACTTGGATTTTCTGGATTTGTAAGAATTGAACTTCAGACTCTAATTACTTGATTACACAACATGAGTCTCTTATCATTCACAAACTCAAATTTAACGAAGAGAAATAATAATATATTGATTGTTGAGATGTTAAAATCATATTATTTTAAACCGTAAAATTAATATTAAAAAAATTTAACCATACTAATATGTTTTTGGTAACCATTTTATTCATTAGATTAAAAGAAAAATGAACAACTATGATCAACATATGTTGGGATTCAAACAAGTCCCACATCGATAAAATAATACAACAAATAACAACTTATATAATACAAACATACTTCAATAATTGAGAGGCCTTTTGGGTAATGACCAAAAGTAAAATCGTGAGGGCTAAGGCCCAAAGCGGACAATATCTCATCATTGTGGAGTATGTTTGTGTAATAACCTTATAAAAATAACTCATAAAATATCCTCTCAGACAAGTACCATAAAATAACCCCAGTGGCATTGTTGAGAGGAGGACAAATACCATAAAAATAACCCTATCAACATAGTAGTGTGGATAGAGTTTTTATTTTGAATCTTATTACCATTATTATAATTTCTATTGATTAAAAAAATTAAAATGAAATCATGTTATCTTCAAATATTAAAAATATATGTGATATGTTTAAATTATCTATGAGAATGAAAAATATGATTATAAAAAAAAACGTTCATTTACTTCAAAATCTTATATTCTCAACTCTTGCTATAAAAATTCAATTAAAGAACGATTTGTAAGAATATATGTAATGGTACAACTCATTTTAGGTTTTTAATGAGACACTTAATGTCATGTAAGATTAAAAAAAAAAATGGAAGAACCTAACTTATTATTAATTCACTTTATGTAAAAAAAATAATGGAAGAACCTAACTTATTATTAATTCACTTTATGTAGATTCTAAAATATACTTATTTTTTTTCTTCTTTTTTTTCTACAAGAACCCAATTCTTGTAGATTCTTATATAAGAACCAGTTCTACACATGACAGCTAAATTACTTCACTCTAATGGTAAAAATAAAATAAAAACTAGTTCTTATTGTAATAATCTATGTAAGAACTTCTTATTGGTGATGAAGATGATATGAGAAAATTAAAATAACCCTCTAAATCTTCTTAAAATTATTATTGGAGTAATTTTATTCTCTGTCTTCGTCACTCTCCCCCGCCCCCAACATTAATGAAAACAAAAGAAAGTTAGTACCTTATAAACTAACTTATTGTAATAAGTTACTAAAATAATTTTGTTTATTAAATAAATTTGTTTTAGTCAAATTAACTTAAAGATTTATCCAGTATCTTATCATACAGTCTTAATCAGTAATTAGGAAAATTAGTTAACCTTGTTTAATTATTCTAATTTAAAATAAAACAATTTTTTTTTCTATATCATTCTTTGTTGGAACTTAATATCATGAATAAAATACGAAGTCACTAAAAGTAAAAAATCTAAAGTAAATAAAAAAGTATTTTAGAAATATTATTAAATCAGGTAAAATTAATTAAAATTACTTATATTTAAGTTTAGGATTCATGAGTTTTTTTTTTCCTATATTTAAAATCGGAGAAAAGATTACACAGTTGGATAAAAATTTCCTACCAGAAGTGCTTTGGAAACAAGTAGAGAATGAACGTGAATTCGTGGGTTGCAATGATTGCTGGTCAGCGTCGCCAAAACACATGGTTTAATAAGAGGACTTCTTTTAGAAATTTTTTTCTAAATATGCAAGAAACAAAAAGAATATGAAGATGTTGGTTAAAGATTAACAAGGGGAAGCAAACATTTTTATTTAAATTTCCTCAAGAAATTACAAAAATAATAATTAGTTTTTAGAATAAATTGACCCAAAACTGCAAGAACAATTTTCACACACAAAAAATTAAAAAGGCAGCAATTCCGCTCCCCTTTTATGCTTTATTGTTCCATTTGCCTGTTAGGATTCCAACTTTGTTCAGTTGTTTTTATTTGTCTCTTCTTTCTATGTGACTTTTAGTCTTTTACAACACTGTTTCTTTTGGTTGTTGTGACTTCAAAGATTTACGCATACAAGGTTCTCTGTAGAGCTGAAATAGGATAGAACTATGGAGGTGATTTTACACCATTAGAGAATTTGGCATTTTTGTGGTTTTAGTTTGGGATGCTCCTGATGTCGAGAGTCCATTTTCATAATTGGAAAAAATCTAGAGCTAAGGAAACAATTTTAATAATTAAGAAATTATTAAGACCAAATGTGAGTATTAAAACTAGAAGAATCAAAATGCACATAGAATAGAACTTGTCATAAAAATTTAAAAACAACTTGACACTTAGCGTGTGTTTGCTTCAGCTTTTAGACGTAAAAATTCACGTTTACGAGAAGTAATAAATTGAAGCTTCCACGTAAATTTGCTTGTAAACGTAGAGAGAGAAAGAAAAATTAAGTTTACAAATCAAAACCAAACACGCACTTAAGCTTTACATTTTCTTGAGGAAGCTTTTAAGAAAAAAGCAATTATTACCCAAAATCTAAACCGAAACGAACTTGCCATCATTAGCATACAATGCAAGCATCTGCCAATCTTCCATCAAAACACAAATCTATGTAATTGGCAGCAACTATTAGTGTCTTTGGATTTGTACCGCAGGAAGCCAAAACCATGTTCAATAGGTCTATGCATCATTGGTAATTCTCATGTTCAGAAAACAAATGCAAACACGACTTTAGAACCCAACGCTGAGTTGTGCAAGAAGCAACTACTAACAACGTTGAGAGTATGGCATCAGTTATACAAAATCAAGTTTGCAAACTCAAATCCAATCACACACTAACAGCGTGTTTGGAACAGCAGTTGCGGGAAATGGATCCTTGTTTCTTCAGAAGCTACTGAGAGCAGCTTCTGCAACTTCTTGCGAGTTAAGATGAAAAATCATCAAATCAGTGAGACATTGATGGGTTTCCAAACATGTGCTAAGCATCGCCAAAGGTGCAGGTAAACAGATTGCTACAGAACTTAAATTTTTTGCAATTATTATCACAAGACAAAGGATACATGGAAAGAGGTACAGGTAGCACTAGTGACTAGAAAATAGAGACCAAGAAAGACATTGAAGGAAGTTATTAAGCAATATCTCATGATAAATCATATCTCTGAGGATTTGGTCTTCAATCAAACCAAATGGTATCAAGTCATCTATGTAACTGAGTTCACCCAATTAGATAAGACTTTTGTTGTTATAGTTGTCGTTGTAATGTATGGTCACAAGAGAAAACAGCCAGTACACCATAAATAACAGTATTCATCTTTTTATTAAAACAGCTAAGATGAACAATTTAACATAAACCATAGATACAGATTGAGTAACCTCTTCCAGGAAAAATAAAAACTTCCCTACTTTCTCGGTTTCAAGGGTGTGCTTAAAGTCATGATCCACCAAACTGGGGTCAAAAAGTTTCCTTCAAACAACAAGCATATGAGTTTGATCATCTAACTCAACTTGCTTCATTTCTTCTGGGGACCAGCATCTGGACCAACATCACGCGAGCCTGTGTTAATGTAAGGCCCTCGAAAAGTGGCTTGTGGTGGAAGTGGCTTTGTTGGGTCAATAACAGGATTCCTTGATGAACTGAACCATAACAATAACAATAATAAGAACATGTTTGGGTAAACTTTTACAAAAGCACTTTTATGGAAAGAAAAAAAAATGAGATAAATTTTTTTATAAGCTAAAATTAGTTTATAAATCTGTTTGAATAAATTTCTCTAAAAACACTTTTGGGTGAGAAAAATGGGTAAGTTTCCCCATAAGCTTAAATTGACTTTTACATGAATTAATTTGTACAAACTCTCTCTTATTAGCCTATCTGAAATCTTATTTTTTAACTTATGTATATATTTCAATTTTTCTTCCTATTTTTCTCTCCTAGAAATGCTTCTGAACCCAAACAGATTCAATACATAAGCTAATTTGTAGGAACTTTTCAATTTAGTTTCTTCAAAAGCTTATTATTAACTTATACATAATAGTTTATTGGTATTGGAAAAGTTTATTCTATTTTTAACTTATGCATAATAATATAAGCATCAAGTTATGAGCAAGTAATGTGAAGAAAATAGAATGAAGAGAATTAGACTTACGCCATGTAGAAGGGAAATGCCATGCCTGCTGCAGCGAAAGCAAGTAAACCCGTAGCAACCATTAGATTGCGTGCACGGGCCATGGACGCAGGTAAGTGAATCTGGTACCAAATTGCAATACCAAACCCTAGAATCAATTTACAAGAACAAAATCATAGACTATAGGCATTCCATCAAAATTAGAATATGAAAGGATTAATCAGATAAAGGAACTACCTCGGAACTGGTCTGAATCTTTCGTCTTCTTTTTTTTCTGGCTCAGGATTTCAAATTCCAGGGAATGTTTGGGTGTGGAAAAATGGTGCGAATTCCTTTTCTTTTTCTGATCGAGAGAGTCCAAGGCCCGTATGTTTTTTTAAAAAATAAAAAATAAAAAACTCACACACACACACCAACTCTTTTTTCACAAAAATATGTTTTGCTTATGGATCTCAATAAAATAATTATAATAGTTAATAAATATATCATATAGAAATTAATTAGTAAAGTTAACAAATTTAATATGTATAAAAAAAATAATTAGTAGAAGATAATATAAAAATTATTTACATAATCAATGTATTCTAATTAAATTTTAAAAAAATTAATAAATTATAATGAAATAAAATAAAGTAATTATTCCATTATGATTAATTTTTTGATTATATATACATATATATTTATCATTTTTCCATTACAAATATTATGAAGATAATGAAATTATAACTTTATTTGATCAATAAATTGATTTGTTCAAATATTTGTGCGACTATTATTTGAGTAATTCTGTTATGTTTTAATTTCTGTTATCAATTGTCATGTAGTTATGTTAACTATAAATTTCCTGACACTACTACAAAATCGAAACTCAGTATAAAAGCATAAAAAGAAAATTAATGATTGTTAAATTGTCAATTTTGAAAACAAAAATGTTTCTATTAAGTATAGTTGTTGGATGCAATTTTTGGAGATTGGAGAAAACATGATATTATCTTAAAAAAAGAATTAATTGATAAATCAAAGTGTTTTACATAACAAGATTAAAAAGATGTTGAAATCCTTACCGATACAAAAAAAAAAGTGTCACCACAAATTGAAACTAGCATGTCATTTTTATTTTATATAATTCTTGAGACTCTTTGATTTAGAATCAACATAAATTAGTTGATATAAAAAGATTTAAAGGAAATAGAATTTGCAAAATAAAAAGAAAAGAGGTGACAAGGAGAAAAAAGAAGAGGATATGAGAGAAGGAAAAAGAAAAGAAAAGAAATCTTGATAGACTTAAAGCATACAAAAATAAAAACATAAAATTTGTACACATGAATCAAAATGTAAAAATAATATAGAAATAAAACATAAAACACAACACGCATACTCATCTGGGTATCAATCATCGTTAACTACTTTTATCGGGCAAACACTTAAATACTTACTTAATGGGTTTTTAAACTTAAACTTATCAACTTAGATCTAGTCAACATTAAAGCACAAGAGTCATGGAAGTTTTTTAAAAACTTAAATGACTTAAAAAGTTATCACAAAACATTATATTAAATCTTGATCACTTCAAATGTTATTGTGATTTACTTTTTACTCGCATACAAAAGACCCTCTCATTAAATATATCCTTATATACGTTGACAATCTTTTGAAGACTAAAAGGTTCTTGGAGCTGTGAAGAACAAAATGTGTTCCAACCATAAGTTTATAATTATACTGAAACTTATGTTTTTCATTAAAATATTCAAAAATTAATTTTCCAACGTTAATACAAATGCATAGTCTGGTGGTTGAAATACCAGCAAAAACATATCATCAGCTGCTTATTTCAAACTCCCATTCAGAAAAACCATTAAACCACAATTGCCAGAATCGTGGAACCATAGCAGAATGCAACTGAAAATGACTACTATTATAATCCACCATGCATAAGAGTACACGAGAGGTACACTACACCAACGCAACTCCAAGAAACACCATGACCACAACGCATTCAAATGACAACTAAAAACAAGTGAAAATTCTCCACTAAAAGAGAATTCCACCAGAGTAAGGTCTTCATAACACCCATATTCCAACAAAATTAAAAACCTATATAACAATGTATTCAACTTTCAGATTTTCAAAGGGAGGTGTTTCATTTGACAAGCATGCTTTGCTGGGCCTGGTTTTCCTGCTGTTGCTGATAATTCAATGGCCTCCTGAAAAGCATTATGTGTGGCTCAGGGCGATGGATTGCGTAGTGAACCCAACCACGACTCTGCTGAACCCCAATCGCCCTCCACTCGTTCTGTAACATTAAACCAAAACCCAATACTTAGAAAGCCTCAAATAAAAACACAAAAAAATATCACCTTCACTCAAAAAATCTACATAACAAAACCCCAATTCCATGACTATTGAACAAATATCATGCATTCCCTAAAAAAAATAAGTTTAAAAAATTAGATAAAAGCAACACCATCGGAACTCAATAATAACATCCTGCATCAATTAATCTCAAAAAAAAAAAAAAAAACAGTAATCAAATTAAAGTAAGTATTTTTATTAATCTCAACAAAACAAAAAAAAAAGTGTAAGTATTCTTATAACTAGTTCACGGTTGTCAATCATTTCAGTGCAGAACTCAGATTATACCATCATCTTAAGGCTTTTCATCAAAAGTTAATCACTGTGCTTAAAAATTCTATAACCTTTTGAGGACTGATTCCTAATCAAACGAACTTTTAATTCAAAACCTAAAAATCACAATCACATATCTATACACAGAAATCTCAAAATCAAAGTAAGATAAACAAATAAGCAATCACATACTTCGGAGAGAAGACGATTCTTGGGAAGCATTTTGGCGACTTCTGGAGGCAGGACCACATGTCTGAACAACAAATTAATGTTAAAAAAAACAAATAATAATAATAATAATAATAATAATAATAAAAAAAA